TATTATTGCTAATCGGTTTTTTTTTTTTTTTTTTTTTTTTTTTTTATAAATGCTTGTAATCCACACTTAAGGCTTAATTGAGAATTATGATAGTTTTGCTACAATTTTATACAGCTTGATAATTGAAGACTGCGAAGGTTTAGTTACGAAGATTTATAATGAGATAAGTTTTGGCATGTAGCGAAAGCTTTTAAGAAGATACTTTTTCCTTATTTTTGAGAGGCATTAACGATGATAAAATTACAAATTATTTTTCCAAGGGTGACAAAATTCAAACATCGACTCTTTTGTAATTAAAATTGTAAAAATTGTAAAATGTGGAATATTCCCCTACACCGACGTATCGATATAAATGATTATTTTAAATGATCAAAATTATAATAATTTAAGTTTATATATTCTAGTTTATATATGTATGTATGCACAAACTAATACAAGAAAGGTAAAAACAATTAGCGTTTTATAATAAAAAAATTAATTAATTGAATTAATAATTTATATTTAATGTTAGACTATGTATTAGAATATTAGTTATTTGTTAGGTGATGCGTATTTTGATTTATTACTAATTTCTGCTACTTTCACTTCTCTATAAAATATTAATATTTACGTCAAAATAGTCGGAATACTGCGTGACGAATAAATAAATTCATTATATTTCTGTATATTAATTAAAAATAATAATTATAATTTTATAAAATATATTATAATATTCTATAAGATTAATGTGATAATAATCAATCTTCATATTTTTGTCATTGAGTACGTTTCATTAAAATACTGCATAGTACTTATAATTAAGTGAAGGAGAGCGTTCTGATTTATAGAATTGTATCGATTTAATTTATTTTACGAATCTAAAAAAACGAATAATTATACTAATAAATTATATTATATTTATATTTTACATTTAAAAGGACGAGATATTGTATATTTATAAGGAACTGTCTGTAAAAATATGCTTTTATCTGTAGAATTAAAAATTATTTTATTAAATGTATTTTTCTGCATTTTAATCAGTAAACTTTAATTAAACTTTAAATAAACTATACTTATTTTTAGTTTCTGGACTACAATTAGTATATTTATTAGTATATTATTTTCGATGATTTTTGATTGTTTTTGATGAACATGATTTGAATTTGATGAACAAAATTATTTCAAATGTAATTGCTAATGTTTTAAGCAACATCTGAAAAGCATAGATTAAAATAAAATATTCTATTTTATTTTTTCAAATAAAATCACTTTCTAAAGACTCGACATGGAACGAATGACTAGGATGAGCAGTGTATAATCATAATATCAAATTGCACAACGATCTCTCTACATTTATATGTACTAATTTATTTTTTACATTTATAACTCACGACTACCGACTTCTCTTGAACCTCTATGTTCTCACCTCTATGACGCTAACCGTAATTTAAGAATAGTTACTTTCACCTCCGTTCATTTCTGGTTTCGGTTTTAGAAATAAGCAATTTACATTCATATAAATTTCCAAGGTCTATGTATTCCTCTTTTAAATAACGAAAATTTTGATTAATCTCTTTTTATTTTCCTATATAGAGTGTAAATTATATTTTGGAAATAATCGTGGGTAATGCTCGTTTAATTACATAATGACGAATTTACTTTATTATTTTATATTATTCTATTTCTTAAAGTATTCGAATAAGTATTATTTATCATTTATTATTTTTAAATTTATTTAAATAATTTAAATAATTTATATAAATGATTCGGTGATGTTTCACTATTATACACGACTGTTTTTTTTTTAATATTAAAAATGTGTGTTGATTATTTATTCTAAATAATTCATTGAAGATTAGAATTAGAGTTCCTAATGAAATATGCTTATTATTATAAAAAAAAATCCTTAAAGGTATTAAAAATTAGATTATGGGATATTAAGGAAAATGATATTACATTAGAATTGTAAAATCGCTTATGCTTAAGCAGCAAATAAATACCTAATCATTAAATAATCTTTTTGTTAATACTAATATGTTAATTCGAGAAATACGTTAATGCTCGCACATAGAAAGGTCACTCAAGCGTCTAATTATATTGAAAAAATTCGCACTAATTAACATGCACAGTATTTATTGACACAAACACAGCATAAGCATACATAACGCTATCGACAATCCGATCGATCAACGAACATGATCATTGATGAAAAAAAAACTTTTCCTGTAGGTTGTGCTCAATTGAGAACGTCAGATCTATATGGGGCAATGCGTGTCTCGTAAGGCGGGCGCCGTCATCGCAGCATCCGGATACTCGCCATCTTATCGCATTATGGAAAAGAAGCCCTCCAAGAATCAGGTGAGTCGCATCTCTTTTTTACTTCGGTTGCCTTTTGCGAGAGAAACGAACGAGGATGAAGCGGCGAACGCGAGGAGAGTGACGTGACAGGCTAGACACTTCCTGTTGCTTCGTTTATTCTGTTGAATCAACTGAATTATGCTCTTTTGGTTTTCCAAGTTGTATGACTTTGCACTTGGGATACTTGCTTACTCGACGTTCTTTTGAAAAATTAACTTTTATTGTGACTGGCGAAAAAGGATTGAGTTACACCGACGTTATTTACCGTACAAGCAATCATGGTTTAATAAAATATTATTATATGTCATTTCTTCCGATGCTCCAATTATTATTCGATTTTCAAATAGAACTTTTTGTTACATTTTTGTTCAATCAATGGTATGTTTTGTTGAAATATATGAAATATATGTACTAAAAAATACATTATATTAAACGTGTTTTATAATTTGACTATTTATTATAAAGTTTTAAATAATCCGTTATTTCGCTTGAAAAATGATAATTGTTTCGTAAAAAATCCTTATGGGATTATTAGTTATTCCTTAGTATTTCATTATTGTAAGTACATTAAATGATAAATGCTCGAATTATTGAAATTAGGATTTGAATATCTAAACAAGTGTATTTAATTTTTCGGCAGTTGTGATTAGTGAGTGATATTTAAAATTTCTAATTTATATGATAAAAAATTTATTATATTAAGATAATCTTCTTAATTATGGTTAGGAAGTTGTCGTACTAATTCGTTCCTTCGTATCACTAGATCACAAATGCCATAAATCATTTAATTTTTATATAAGATATCTAATTAATTATCAATAGTAGGCTTTAATATTTTTATACAATGAATTTAAAATCTTTATATGTAAATATATTATAAAATTTTAATTATATGATGTATATAATGAATAGGTGCAATGCTTGATTATCTATTGAAATAAAATTTCTGGGTAAGCTAAAAAGGAAGTTAAGAATCAAAAACTTTCATGCAAATATAATATGCATAATACTTTAAATCTATTTTCTACAACAAAATAATACAAAGTATATAAATCTTTATAAAAACATTACAATGCTATTTTTGTCAAGAAAATATAAAAATTTTATACTCACAATTAATTCTTTTAAATTCATCATCAAAAAAAAAAAAAAAAAAAAAAAAAAAAAAAAAAAAAAAAAAAAAAAAGTACAAAAAGAAGCAAGTAATTTATAATAGCAAAAAATTGCATTCAAGTGAATAGTTTGATTTTTTTTTAACGTAATATCAAACGATTGAAAGGTCCTTGGGTCCTAGATGAAAGTTTGATAAATAACTTGTATTTTGAATTTGCACGTCAAGTTAGATTGACATACATTGGCGGCCGCATCGAGGCCATCAATGTCTCGAGATCAACAATTCTTGTTTGGTATTTTATCCATGAGATGAAAAGTCATTGGAGGGCGTGCGTAGGAGTGCTAAACGTAGGTGGCAAGCGATGCTCATATGTATGCGGAATGCAGGGTTTATTTCACTTTCTTTTCACTTTTAATGAAGTACGAGTATTCGATTAACTAATATATGTAATATTAAAGACATTAATTGGCTTAACGAATATATTTTTTACGAGCGCACAAATATTTGATTTCCCGATTATACAATATACTATATGTGAAGAAATAATTTTTAAATATTTTCATTACTACTATTACGTAATTTGAAATATTATTTAATGAAAAACAAAAAAATATAATGTTTATTTATTTAATTAAATTCATTAAGTAATCGTTATGCATGCCAATGCAAACAAAATCGGTTGGCTTATTAATTGTGCTATGTTGTAGAGAATATTTTTACAATTTTAATTCACTCGTAACATTAAGAATTTACATCACATTTCTACTATATTGGCAACTCATCGTCTAAAATATTATTTATTTATTGAATTCAGTATTTATAAATTTATATTACATAATAAATTTTTATCCCATTCCATGAAATTATATTATAAAAATTGTAAGAAAAAAATTCTCGAAATAGATAATAAATATTTAAACGAAATTCAGATCCTTTATCGTTATTCAAATTTTACGTAGGGTGATAAAGAAATAGATGACACGAAAACGCAAATTTACGAAACAGTCATACCACAGGTTAATAAATGTATTGCTGATGTTGTATTTCATTGCATAATATTTATATTCTAATTCAGTCTAATAAAGCAGAATTAGCAAAAGTCATGAAAACAATAATCAATATTTTTTTTTAACGCAAACGTCTTTACTAAATTTACTCGATTATATTCAACAACTCTGCCGGTTTTGCGCATACGGTACCACTTAAGATCGTTAACCTTAGGTGTCCTCGGCGCCATTCACGTTACGAGTTGCAAGTATCAATCTGCTCGACTATTTCGTCTGCATAATTGGCTCATATCAGTTGCATATTTTGTTTGTGCACTAGGATTTGTAAGGTTCATAATAACAGGATAGGCAGGTATGATTCCTCCACAATATTTTCAAGATTGGCGCAATCTTGAATCGAGATCGAGGGGCCCGTCATTGGGATACTCTCACTTTGAGTACTTGCATTCACATTATTTGAAATTTCTGAAGAGATATTAAGGCCATGTATTAGACCTCAAAGATGATTTATTGATCAATCAAGATTTGCATACTTCATTGTCTAGTGTGAAGTTCTATAATGCATCAATGATGGCACATTATGGTATTTCTTTATGACTTGACAGATATATTAGTGAGTTAAGAGCTTGGGAAAGTCATTCATATTTAATGAGACAACATTATAAAATAATAATTAGTTATATTAGTTCTTTAAAATGCGAATGAATGGTCTATTAACTAATATTTATTTATTATAACATATGGTTTAAACTACTCATATAGATTAATACTTAAACTACGATTACTACATACACGTTATAATTACATGTATAATGGAATGAATTATTACTTGTGCGATATTTAAATTCAATGCAATTTGTATATTATAAATACTTAAATAATATTGTTGAATGTATATGTATATGAGTGTATATTTACTTTTGGCAATCGCATAAATAAATTTACTATAATATTCAGTTTGTAAGAGTATCTTAAGAGTTTCAGAAATTTATAAATATACAATATATAATAAACTAAAATTTATATTAAGACCAATTAAAATTATTAATTCTACATGGAACTTACAAAATCATTAAATGAAGGAATAAGAAATCACGAATTGAGATAATAATAAACAAAATTTATAGTTAAAATAGAGAGAGAGAGAGAGAGAAAGAGAGAAAAAAAGAAGGAAAATCCGGTTCGATTAAAAGCTTTTTAAGAGAATTCAGGTCTAGAAAATATAGAAACGCCTTTCTATATCTTATGTCCACACTCTATTTTAACTTCCTTTTCTTAAAGAATAACTTTTGTCAAACAAACACTCACCTGTTCCATTTGTTCATTATTCTGCCTACAATAACGAATCACTTGTGCGAATGTTCGAAATTTTTAAATTATTTAAATTAAGTTAAATTCTGATAAATGCACTTGAAAATTATAGCATAATGAATGATGATGTATCAATGATAATTCATAAAATTTAATTCTGTTGAAAAAATAACGATGAAAAGAAAATTTCAACCGATTTAAAAATAGTGACTTTAGGCTTTTTCATACTTTTCATCCATATTAATTACAATGATTATTATCATTATAATTATTATAATGAAATATTATAAATATTTTTTAAATAACCAAAGAAAAATATGATAAATATACATAATATAAATTTTGTTTAATAATAAAATTTAAGAAGTACAACAGTTCATGATAATTTTTCTTCATCATGTATAAAAACATTCAGAATATTCATTTAATACAATCCTACAACGATATAATAATGAAATGAAATAAATCTATATTTTCTTAGCAACAGGTGGATTTAATTCATTCCATGAGATTTCTACTCGTAAGTTTCATAAAATCATACAATAGAGAGATTGTGTTTTTATGAAATCGGAGCTAACTTGCATGCCAGTCATATAATATGGCGATATAAACAAAGGCTCACAATGCTTGCATTGTCAATCTAAAAATGTGAAAAGGAAGCAAAAGAAGTATAACCGTGCTCGTGTGAAATGTAAAGTATCTTTTTCTATGTCCTCTCATTAAATATTATTTATAATTATGTGAAGCGTTTTACAAATACTTTTTCTACTATTATACAAATGTTTAATTAAAGGCAATAAATTACTAACTTTAATAGACACTTATGCGTAGGAGTAATTTTAAAATTATTATCTCACACCGTTCTATTTCACTAATGTAAGTTCTTTTAAAACAAAAATCTTTATGCTTTATGTAATCACATCCAGGCATTAGCACAAAATTTCGCCAAAAGTAATTGTTTATTTAACTTAATATTGTATTGGTAAACTTGTAATTTTATCGATAAAATTGGTTGATGGGGGGGGGGGGGTGGAATGAAAATGCTTCCTAAAAACCTGAAAATCATTATATTTGCAAACTCAATTACAGAAAAAGACATTGATACAAAAAAAACATATTGCATTTTCAAATTAAAAAATATTTATTTCATCGCCGGTTAGGGAAATAAGTGCTCACATGCATTTTCCGGCTCCGGCATTTTCACTCCTACAAGCCTTCAAATATCTCTTATTTCAAGGCTATTATATCAAAAAGTATAAAGACACCGCGACATAAAAAGAGGCTCGATCGTGCACACATTCGCGAACTCTCGAAACGTATACGCCTTAGCTTCGTAGTATACTTACATACTGCAAAGTTTCTCGTTAAACTTTCCTTCTTCTTTCACTCCTCGTAAATTCGACGTGGTTCAGCCATTGCTTCCCTTCCCTGGACTACCCCACCCTTTTACCGGCAGTTCGACCTCCGCGTTTTTCCCTTCCTTCTCGTCCATTCGCATTGTTCCATTTTTCTTTTTACAAAGCATTTAATCAGTTTAATCTTAGTGCCAGAGCTATTTCGGGAGAGTG